CCATCATGCTGCTAGAATGCGAGTGCTTGCTCGACGTCGAGACTTCGGACTTGGAGTCACTCGACGGCGTTCCAGTTGAAGAGGTGTGGCTGTAGCTGCTGCCGCAGCAGTTCTTCTCAATGAACTCCTTCACCTCGTGCACAAACGGACGCACCACCGTGTTGCAGTAGAGCCAGGCGTTCTGGCTCGAGTTGAGTCCGGTCTGGTGCATGACCATGGCCTTGAGGATGAAGCGCTGCTGCTTGATCAGAGTGGTCTGCACGAAACCGCAGGTGTCGATGTCCTGCTTGCTGCTCGCCGCCTGGCAGAGTTCGCGCAGGTACCTCTCCGTCTTGCGCTCCGCCTCCAGAGCCAACTCAACTAGACGGCGCATCACGTTGTTCACGTCCTTCTCGTTCTGGCTGACCACGGGCAGCGAGACCAGTGGCTTCAGGCTCTCTGGCAGCTGCCATTGTCCGCCTCGGATCAGTTGGAACTTGGTCATCAGCTCGGCGGTGTGGCGCATGCGCATGGCGCAGAGGCGCAGGAACTCGCCGAAACAGGGCATCGAAATGTTGTCATAGATGCAAATGCTGGCGAGGTAGTTGTACATGATCTCGCCGGAGTAGTGCATGTTGATGCCATTGTTGATGAACTGCTCGATCTCGGGCGTGAAGTTGATACGCGAATTCATGGTTTTCTTTCTGTTTGCCGGTTTTAATCTGCACAGATTCATGTTAATCTCACTTATATACTTTTTTCTCCATTTATTGATCCAATGAATTGGATTTTAGGCAGCCGAATTTCATTAGATCGACCCATATGGGCCTCGTGATTTCAACATTATCGACATCATTTTCTTTAATTTATATCTCGTCTATTCGATTTCTCGTTTCCCTATAACTAGATGTAGTTCTCATCTTGTATGAAAAAGGTCTTTGGTAAATAACCTAAAAATCTCTCCCAGAATCGACACTTAAAAAGTTTAATAGAAAAGCATTGAAATAGCAAATGGAGCTGATTTTGTCTAATTCTGAG